AAGAAGCATGTGAGATAATTATTTAATCAGCTCTGACATCACGTCTTTTACTGCGCATGCGTCACATCAGTGCTGTGGAGCGTTCACACAGGGGTCTGATGCAGGTCACATTTAAAATGTAATGTGAACGTTCACACAAAAAGATCGGATTTTTTCAAAAAATCGGAACTGAGCATTAAAACCTGCAGTGTGAATGTAGCCAAAGTTGCTGAGTCATCATTGACCTTGCTTTGGTTATAAATCTGTTTAGTGAGTAACCAGGTGGTTTCACAGACCAGATGATAGAACTTAATGTCATTACTGAGCTGTAAAGCTGGCTTATTTTTACCTCCGCTAAGGGCGAGGTAATGTTTTCGGTTGCATCTCTGTCTGTCTGTCTGTCTGTTTGTGGACACCATTACTCAAAAACTTGTGGGCAGATTGTCATGACATTTTTACCACATGTGGGTACTGGGCCAAGGAACACACCGTTAAATTTTGGTGATGTTCTGGATCACGATGCGGACACAGGAATTTTTTTCCTTTTAACACTCTGAGATCTGCAAAGCTGTGATGCTTTCACAGGGCTTTTGTAAAAAAAAAAACAGTGAGCTGGATTGGACAGCACAGACTTCAAACTTTATAAAAGTAATGTTAAAACCACATTTAATGATGAATAATTTTTGCCATATGCGCATTTACAGAATGTTTTGTGACCAGGAAGTGGCGGATCTAGAAAATGTTCCATGGGGGGGCAAAAGCTCTAGGCAGAGTGGCAATGCTGGATCACTTACACACATACACATACTTATTTTTATTTTAACTAAAATTAGAACATGAATTGACTATATTTATTAAGTTTGAAATGTCTAATTTCCTAACACATATAGACTTGTACAGATAATGTGTTATTCATTGAAACCTCCAATGTACAGTTTTTGTACCAGGTGATCCAGTTTGACTACAGGCTGGATTCTCTGACTCTGCCTTCCTTCTCTCCTTCAGTTTCCTTTGCTCTTCTGTCTTCTCTCTCTGACTCTGAAATCTTCTCTTCTTCATCACTTATGCTGACATCACTTTCCTCATCTTCTTCACCTGTGACCCTCCTGGTCTCTTCTTACTTCTCATCCCTTGCTTTTTGCAAAAAAAAAAAATTAATAACTTCAATATCTCTACTTTTAAATTTCTTTTTCATTTTGGGCTGCAATGTGCAAGCATCAAGATTTTTTTTAAATTAGCCCTTTTTATCATATAATCATAGCAGCTTATTTACTTTCTTGATCGGACAAAACAAATGTAAGATGGTTTAATTGTGCCTCATTGCCATGATATCAAATAAAGGTGTCAGTGAAACTGCAGCCCATAAAAAGCAAACCTGAAACCTTTTTTTTATTTCTAAACTTTTCATTAACTGTTACCCTGCTTATTGTAACCACGGTAACACGGTATGGAAACAAGCTAACGCTAAGTCACTGTCATCATTGCACCGTGAACATCGGGCACTTTAGCAGATATTTCATTGATTGCAAACTTAACTTTACTGTTGTCTGTTAAAACCTCAGTTAGAGAAACTTTAAGTGTAGAAAGGTGGAAGCTCAGTGACTCCACTGTGTTAGTGAGCGGCAGGCAGTGTTTGATGCAGGGCCGTAACTAAACCTTTCAGGGGCCTCAGATTATATTTAAAATTAAATATTTTTGGTAAATAAATATTTATTTTAAATGTTGTAATGGGCTTTTGGAGTAACAAACAGTAATTACAAATATTTTAGAAACATAAAAGTAGGGGTGCTGCTCGGGGGGGCAAGGCTCTAGAACAGGGGACAGTTGCCCCCACCGTAGAGCCGCCCTTGGCGTGACTGCACCATGAAACCTATTTCTCCCATTTCCTCAAACACACCACATTTCCCAAACAACCAATCAAAACAGTTTGTCTCTACTAGGCTTGTAAACAGAGAGCTGCCGGGCCTCAAWGTTTGGAGACGGGGGGAGCCAGGAAGCACTTTATAAAGAGAGTCAAACCATTACAAACTCATACAGGGAGAAAAAACAGACGTTTTACATGGTGAAATGTGACTGATGAAAACTTAGGAGCTTAATCTGACACCAGTTTGATGATGAATAATGTCGAGTGACGAGTCTGACTTTTGTTTTCACATTAGACTCCACCGGGAAGAAATCCCGTGCATACTGCCTGCTTAAATGTTCGTTACGTCAGAACTTATTCAGTAAATGTGTTTCCATCTCTGCTTTTGCGCATTAACTCTTACAGGATGGGGAAATTAGTCTTGGCGGAGGTTTGCCCTCTCTGAGTAGGGCTGTGTATTGGCAAGAATTTGGCGATACGATACATATCATGACAGCGGGGTCACGATACGATATACCCGATATATTGCGATACTATAAGCAAGGCGATATATCGTGATATATTGCGATTTTTTTTTGTCCAAAAATTCTATTAAATAAAAACCTCTTACAGGGGACAAAAATGAAAAACCAAAATTCATTGTCTCAGAAAATACTAATATTACATAGACATACTTTTGATGCATTTAGCTGTGTTCTGCTTTGTATGGATTTTATTTTATTTGTTTCATATTTCTTATTTCATCCATGTTTTCAATTATTAGACTAAATTTGACAATAAATAGTTTGAAAATATTTTTCACCCAACACTTAACAATAGCCTCTACCTCAAGAGGTAGAGGAGCCAAATGGCTGACTC